TTTTTTTTCATTTTTTTTTTTTCTTTTTTTTTAAGTGATGTAAGAGATAGATGTTAGAGCTAGTTACCCTGTTCTGCGAGCTGGTGTTCTCCCCATCGATCGGGCCGATTTTCGCGTGCTCTCTTTTACACGATCACGTCACGATTCACCGACTCTCGCGTCTCATCCGCCACGTCCCTTCGGACGATCGATCTTCCGCCCTTTCCTATTCATCCGCCGATTCCACTCCCGATCCACACCCCTCCACCTCCGCCTCCGCCTCCGCCTCCGCCTCCTCCTCCTCCTCCTCTTCCTCGTTTTAATTGCAAGGCGGCGCGATGGAAAAGGAGAACGTCCGTGCAAGCTAACTTTCAAGAGTGCTACTTGTTATCTTTCGAGGTACTCTAGTGCCTATGACTTTTTTTTTTTTTTTCACTGTCTTCTGTTCTGCCTATATCGCTAAATCGCAGCTAAAATTAGCGAGATTGAAGGGGAGGAACGTGACACCTCCGCTCTCTCCCGTTTCGAACGCAATAATAAATTAATAATCTCGCGATTCGTATACGCGTTTTTTCTTCTTTCTTTTTTTTTTTTCTTTTTTTTTAAAAAAGGGAAAGAGATCTTTCGTTCGTTCGTTCGTTCGTTCGTTGCGCGCCTTATCATTGCCAGATTTTCGTGAGTGATCATCATCTTCCATCGTTCTCGCGTATTATTATAACTGGCCGGCCAACGAAAATTCGGTAAGAAGAAAAAAAAAAAAACGAAAGACGAAATCAAACTCTCCCATTTTCCATTTGTGTGTGATCGCGATGCACAACAACAATAATAATAATGATAATGATAATGATAATTAATAATAATAATAATAATAATAATGGTAATAATAATAATAATAATAATAATCAATACATTTTACATCGATCCTCGTTAATGTCAATGTAACAACATTTTCGACTGCGATAAAGTACTCGGTAGCGAATATACATATAATTGCAGATTGCCGATAGGGGGATAGAACGGCATCCCCTGTTAAATAAGAACAATGATAATAAATTAAGTTTCATCGTTTCTACTGTACATGCGCCTGTTATACATATTATACTTATGTACTTATGTATATATAAAAAACGGTTTTGAAAAACGGTTTGACTAACATGGACGTAAAATCGTACAAAAAGCGTTTGTCCCTCTTCCCAGTTGCGTGATGCGTGGCTTCGATTCTTTGTTTCCACGCGAGTTTCCA